CATTGTCTCCCTCTAACTACGGGTTAGGAGGGGGCTTCCAGTCTTTAACTTTGAAACAATTAGTCTCCTGGGTGTTCTCGGGGCCCGGCCAGTCCAGCGTACAGTCTGGGTTTAATAACTGTCCATTCTCCCCCTCCAATAGAGGTACTTTATCTTCGTCCCAGTCATCTATCCAGATCGGGTCTCGGGAGAAGGCATTCTCTGGCCAAAGTCTCCTGAAGGACCTCTTTGCTGCTCCAGCATCACCAGCCATTCCAATCTCTGTCTACATTCCCTCTCAAGCTTCTCTTTTTCCTCCCTCAACTTCTTCCTCCACTCCTTCGTCTCACACTGCCCCCCAATAAGAGGGCTTAGGTATAAGCTCTCTTCTTCTCTGGGCTTCTGCCTCTTCTCTTGGGACCCTCAGCTCCCCCCCCTTCCCAGTCCACGGGTCCCCTAGCCCTGTCCACTCCCAACCCTGAGGCAAGCTGACCTTCCCCCTCTTTATATCCCCCAGCCCCGCCTCTACTTATACCTGGGGCTGTCATTCTTTTCCTGCCAAAATATTGCCGCCTTCCCCAACGGACATTCCTCTCAATTCCCCCTCCATGCTCCCTGGGCTTTGCTCAGGTGGTCTAATCTTCCTGAGAGGGGGAATGGATGGTGTTTGTACCTCCTTGTTGGCAGAGAGTGGGAGGGATGGCACTCCCATGAGAGGGGCCTTGCTCTCACCAACAGCCTCACAGGGGTGTGCTTGAAAATATAGAACATTCCACAAATTAGTTTTGGCCTTACTAGATGGGTCAAAGGTTATATTCACGGTAAGGCAGACTCTTATGTTCCTTTGTTCCATCATCTCTGGCCAATATCATGCAAAGAATTCACCCTTCCACTGAACTGCCATCCTTCCTTATTGTCAGGTAATCATCTGTGCTGTGGTTACTAGAGAAAGAGAAAGAGCTTGGGAAAAAGTTACATCTTTCTCCCAGTGCCAAGCTGCTCAAAAAACAACCCTTCCCCCAAAGCGTCTGAGGCTCAAAGATGAGGATTCAAAAATGATAATCTGACACTATCCCAGTTTAGCCAGTCTCTTATGCACCATTTGCATGATCAGAGATCTCATACAAAGGAGCACGTGGAGGAGTGTGATGGAGTGTGTCAATGGCCAAGACCAACTTCAATTCTGTGCAAATCCTACACATGTACATGTTATATGTTGTAGGGCAGTTTACCAGAACCAGGTGGACTCTAAACATGCTGGGTGGCAATTTCCTCCAGCTCTGACTGATGTTGGGTCAGAACATCTGGAAAGCTGTGATATGAGGAAGGACGTCACAATCGCATGTGGCTGTCTGTAAACATCCATTATGTGCATGCAAAATGTAAACATCAGACCTAGGTGTGACCTTGTTCTTTCCCTTTGTGTATGCTTCATTAAGTAGACACTAAGCAACAGGAGACCACCCCCTGAAATAGTGAGTTGAGAAATGTTGTTCCTTAGAACTACAACTCACAGTGGCCATGCTTGCTGCAGAATCATGAAAGTTGTAGTCCAGAAAAGTAACACTTCCCCTTTCTATCAGTAGCTCTGGCCCTTTAAATCCTTCCATTTGCTTCAGCAGGAAAAGAAATGACAGATGGAATGAAATATAACTAATTTAAAACTATTTAAACATGTAGGTCTGTTCTTTCTCCAGCACAAACCCAGGAGGCACCAAACAGTGTAATAAATATTTACAAAATCTTTCTGAACTATAGTATTTAGTTTCTTGTATGTTCTGTTTCAGTTCTGAAAAGAAACTCATGTTGCGTGAAGGAAGTTCTTTAAGCACTGAATGGCCTTATGTCCTACTTCACAGAGGTGAGTTTGAAGGTTGTTCACTCCTAAGTCGGGTGTAAAGCTAAAAAACTATCGGAAAGAGAGAGAAGGGGCCCAGGCAACATCTGGACAGCATCCAAATGGTCCAACTGATCACAGTCTTCTCCACTAAGGTAAGATGTACTGGATTTCTCAACACAATATGTCATGCAAATTACTCTGTCTACGTGCATATCTACTCAAATAAATTTGAACTTATACAACTGAAATTTAGCTATTCTATCTAAATATGCATCTATTAAAAATTAGGACATAAATCAGTATACATATAACTGAGGTACATATTAACTAGTGAAGCTGTATCCTCATTTATGGGGCAATATGTATGAGACCCATCTACAATCACTGCTCAGAAAAAGGTCAAAGGAAGAATTGATACAAAAGGAGGGAAACAGTAGATGGATTTTTCAGTCAAGTGTTTCTGATTTTGATGATATCTAGTGCCTGGATAAGCAAAAATGACTTCAGAAGAGCTTACATTTTTAAAAATAATAGACTGGATGAGCATGAATCAATATAAACCTCATGCACTGATTTTGGATTCCATCTGATGAGGTGAATATAGATTTGTCCCTTTTACTCAATGAGTAGCTAGGATGCTATGCAGACATGACTGCAGTGTTATGTGGGCAAGGAGGGACAAAAAGTTATCCTTCTGATCTATGAGAAAGGCAAGAGTCCACGAGAACTGCCTGCTGAAAAACCTGCTGGAAGCTGCTGTGACTTCCTTGAAAGTTGAAACCTAAAACAAAACTGTTCTTTCATTCCAGTTTATAAACAAATATTCACCAAGGTGATGTAAACCTTGGTAAAAACAGAGTTAAAGTAACAGGTCTCCATGTAGTTGGTAGTCCCAGAAAGAGCTGATTCCTAGATTTAGTAGGTTTTGAACATCCATTTGACTGCTCCCAGCTTCTCATAAGTGGAGAAAAACATACTGTACTCACATCCACCTTGTTGTTGACCCAACAAGACAGCATAAAGCAGCAGCATAAGCCAACACTTGACATGTGAAATACTCCTTCTCCCTTGAATAAGAGCACATGCCATAACTAGAAAATAAAATTAAAAATTACTTATGGGAGGAGAGAATGAAGTTATCCCTCATTAATTACAGTCACAATTTACCCTAGTAGTTAAAAAAAAACAAATAGTACAGAATCCTGTTCTCAATGTATGTTTGCATAAGAGAAAAAGGTTCCCCTTGACAGAGCAGCAAATTAATACAGTACTCATTAAGGAGCTGCTGGTAGTGTTCATGGTATGTATCAGAAATACATTTCTATGAACTGTCAGTAGAATTCTGGATACTAGTTGCAAATTACTCATTTCTAACTAGTGATTTTCAAATCTTGGACAGTATATTCCAAACAATTCACATCCAGCATATCTTTGAATACAGATTATCATTGGATCAATCCCATAGATTCCCCATGTGCACTGCATTAACATTTTGTGGCATGCATTGCAAATACTGTACAAGGCTGCTCTGTTGAGCTAGAGAGAAAGAAAAGGAATTAACATTTTGTGGCATGCATTGCAAATACAAGGCTTCTCTGTTGAGCTAGAGAGAAAGAAAAGGAGAAAAGGGTTATGTGATACCTATAGAGCATTTCTGAGACTTCTGTCAAGCATTTGGCTTGTATTTTCTTTTTGCCACCATGGATAACATGTGCCTAGCTCACAGCAAAAGAAACTGCATGGACCGGCAGCTGGTGTGGAGAAGGGTCAAGATGATGATGTGCCATTATGAATGCTGTTGAGCTAGAGAGAAAGAAAAGGAGAAAAGGGTTATGTGATACCTATAGAGCATTTCTGAGACTTCTGTCAAGCATTTGGCTTGTATTTTCTTTTTGCCACCATGGATAACATGTGCCTAGCTCACAGCAAAAGAAACTGCATGGACCGGCAGCTGGTGTGGAGAAGGGTCAAGATGATGATGTGCCATTATGAATGTTGGAAGCTAGAAGGGTCAAGATGATGATGTGCCATTATCAATCTTGGAAGCTAAACCCATTAATCTCTTTGGGTCAATTCAGTCTATTTGACTGAGATTGGTCAACTTTTATTAAGCTCCAAGAAAGTAGGTTTTCATTACGAATCTGTTCTTTTTTTCAGCTGCTACAAGTTTCAAGGATAATTCTGCTGCTATGCGAGACCATCCTTACCATCAAGTTGAGGGTGGGAGACTCCTGAGATAGAAGATGCTTGGTTCCATAATAAGGCAACTAAAGGTTTGTTATGAATGTACTGATCTTTTTTTCCAGTGGACAGGGATGCTGATGGGTTTGGCACTGCCAAGGTAACTTAGTTGTCCTTAGATACGCTAAATTTAGAATTAGGACAGCACATTTTACTACTTTGCCTCAGACAGCAGAATATGTTTGGCTGTCCCTGCTTCATGTATTCATGCAGATATGCATGAATAAAACTGTTCACATAGTATACTGTCAGTTTGTGAAAGACCTTGGGGTGATTTAAAAATAGAAAAACAAAGAGAATTACTTGAATCACAAATCACAAGTATAACAGTAAAGACAAGTAAAACTGCCCAAGTGGAATCGAGATCTTGAAATGTTGGGATATGAAATTATTGAAATGATGTTTTTTTGCAACAAGCAGTTAAAGCCTTGTGCCCTTCAAAGGAAAAAGGTGGAATATGAATTAAGTAAACAAATCAAATATAAACAGTGGTTTGCTGGCAAGACAAAAATCAAAGTCTCCGATAGACTTAACACAACTAATTCTCTGAACATTGCTGGAGGGGGAAAATCTCTAGGAAAGACTAAAAACATTAAGGGATCTTTCCTGTTTTGTGTAAGGAAGAGAGAAGATGGTGAACGTTTATTACCCAGATGAAATTATAAAACACCATGCATCAAGAATTCTTGGTTTTTATATACTTCTCTGAAGGAATTTAATATTAACCAAGTTATTCTAGAAATAGCATCTGTTCAGATCCACAACACCCCAAAAAGCAGTTTGGTGGGACAATGAACAGCTAAACATGAAGAAATGTATGTGCTTAATTCTGTTTGTTATTAACTGCCCTTGGAAGCTACCAGTCACACAGCTTGGGAGGAGGAGCTGGTTGCTTCTTTCTGTCGTTTAGGTAAAGCTCCTCTGGCAGTAGGTGAACTCAACGTCCTTGAGCACAGCAGGAAGTAAATTTTCTCCACCCATGGTCTGGAGTCTGGACACAACATCTGATGTTGCTTTGTAACCCTGCCGTCATCTCTCCACTGGCAGCTGGTGGCTTCAGTACAAATCAACAGGATTATTAGGGTCTGGGGTCCAACATTTATGAATGGATCTGCTGAGGAGTCTTGCTCTGACCATCCTTGTGCTGTCCTTGGTTCGCTGCGCTTCTGTTTCAGAAGGTGATTTCTTCCACTTTTGTCATAAAAGCAGGCGTAAAATTTAGAAAAGTTATGTGGAAGCTTGCAGAAAAGTGGGGGAAATACTTTTAAAAGTCATGGTGGCTGTCTATTTGTGGATTCAGCATCTGGACGTAAGGATTTTAGATGTTTGTACTGTACTCTAGCTGGAGGATTTTTGTGCTCTGTCCTCCGCCCCCAACTTTTCTATGTTTGGGGTGCAGGTGGAATTGGGAAAATCTCAATCATTACAGAGTAAGAACGGGAACTGAGTGGTAACTGCATATATTTGATTGCAGTCATCATCAAGGAAAATCTCAATCATTACAGAGTAAGAATGGGAACTGAGTGGTAACTGCATATATTTGGTTGCAGTCATCATCAAATCACTGGAATGTTTTAAAACTGTAATGTTTAGAGGACTGTTCCCTGTGGAAATTTTTGAAAACAGCAGTTGTTAATCTACAGACTGATCTAGAGAAAATTCAAGCTAGATCATGCTAAAGCAAGGGTATCTTGACTAAAGATCTTTTCACATGACCATGGAGGAAAGTGAAGTGCTTTTAAAAAATATTTTTGGCCCAGGGCCAGATTTATGCACACCTCGGTTACTTTTCACGTGAATCACTGTAGTGTATTGTGTGGGGATCTGTCTTTCAAAAGAAACTCCAGCTGGTCCAGAATACTGCAGTGGGATCGATTGTTTTAATTGATGCTTTTGAATTGTGGTGCTGGAGGAGACTCTTGAGAGTCCCCTGGACTGCAAAGAGAACAAACCTATCCATTTTGAAGGAAATCAGCCCTGAGTGCTCACTGGAAAGACAGATTCTGAAGATGAGGCTCCAATACTTTGGCCATCTCATGAGAAGAGAAGACTCCTTGGAAAAGACCCTGATGTTGGGAAAGTGTGAGGTCAAGAGGAGAAGGGGACGACAGAGGACGAGATGGTTGGACAGTGTCACTGAAGCCACCAACATGAATTTGACCCAACTATGGGAGGCAGTGGAAGACAGGAGGGTCTGGCGTGCTCTGGTCCATGGAGTTACGAAGAGTCAGACAAGACTAAATGACTAAACAACAACAACAACAAAGCTACAGGGACTGACTTTCTAGCTGGATCTGCTTCTGGGCAGAATCCAGAGTGCTGGTCATGACTCGTAACACTTGGGGACCAGATGGACTTTACAAAGTTACTTACATCTTGAAATCTTCAAGGGAGGCCATTCTTTGGAGCTGATCTGGAACTCCCTGATGAGGGAGTCTAGAGAGGTCTGTTCTGCATCATTCTTCTGCTGACAAGCAAGGACTTTTTGAAATCCAGTCATTCTTCTGTGTTCTAGCCAAGAGTGTTGTCATTTCTTTTTATTGATGTTTTTCAACTATGTTTTTCACTTGATTCCACATTTTGATTTTATTTATTTTTATTTCCATTTTGCTATTCCTAGTTTACCTTGAATGCCATTTTGGGGCAGAAAAGGAGAACATGGATTTAATTAAGCAATCAGCTGATCTTTTGACATAAGAAGAACCTAGCAAAAATTGGTTGATAAAAGAAGGCCAGCTGCATTTGTACCAGAATATTTAGAAATGCATAGGCAGGGAGCACAGTGCTCGTGGGATCTATTCCTAGGCACAAAGGTCTGGATTGACAATAGCTATATTGGATAAGGAACAGCTTAAAAACAAGGTAGACTTTTATGTCTTCCAGAATTCTTCATCAGGCAAAGGCAGTATAAAGTTTGCACTTAAGGCAAACAGGCCAATCATTGGACCAGATGTGAGGTCCATGGCTCTTGAAACAAGAGTGCTAACAAGGCCAGATGGTATTTGCAGATTCCACAGAAGACCAAAGAGTGAAAAGTATTAAGGTCCAAGACACATAGAGGAAGGAAACCTTGCACCTCAGTCTCAGGTGGGATCTGTATTTGACCTTGTTAGCATTCTGATTTTAAGAGCCAAAGTCCCACTTTTGGACTATTTGCTTTAACAACTGACTAAAATACCATGGTTGCCTAATAAGGAATTTTGGAGAACTCCTCTTTGGCAGCATTCTAGTGATCCAGAAAAGGTATTCCCCCACCCAGAACATTGTGACACTCATTCATTTGAATTGAAGCACTTGGTCACCAAAGAGAATGAAGTGAGGAAAAATAAACCAACACTAGCTTTTTGAAGCTAATCTGGAGGGCGGGGTGTCCTTTCACATTGCAGTTTTTGTTGTGTTAAAAAAAAAGGACATGGAGCTTCACAGATCCGTGATTCTGAGGAATATGCAGTCTCACTTCAGAGCCATAATAGTAACATATTTTTGGCTACAACTCCCAGAAGCGCTGAGACAATACATCGGGGGGAGCTTCGGAGGCATTTGTATTATTCAATTATATTAGTACACCACCCTGGGATCTGTAAGGACGAAATGTAGCTTAAAATGTTTAAAATATTTCAAAACACACAAATAATAATTCATTCATTCATTCATTCATTCATTCATTCATTCATTCACTGCTCCATTAGTACACTGCATTATTCTGGGTGATGTACATATAATCAGATTCCCAAACTATAAATCAAAGTGTAAATCCTAACTTGCTACTGTTCTCTCATTTTCTAGAGACAAAGGGACGCTCTGCCAACTCTTCATGTCCTCGTAAGTATGTGTGTTCAGCAATGATGTCGTGTCTACCAGAATTTCTAAAGAGGCAGTTCCAGGTGTCAGATCAGGAAGTAAGATGTCTGAACCTCTCCCTAAAAGCCCTACAGAACTTTGTAGACCTTTGGGGGGAAAACCAGAAGCCTGTGTTAATCAAGAAAGGATTAATTCCTGAATAAAATCAGACAATCTTAGCCTCTAAGTATATTAATAAACACAAAAAAGTCATTCTAAATGCTCACCTAGCCAAACCAACTTGAAATCTATGGAAGAAAATCCATGACGATTGTCTTGTGATCTTGTGTTGATGAGCTGAATGTTGTTATTCCTTTCTGGGCTATCTTTTCTGCTGTCTTTCTCACGTGGCTACTGTAGTCCTAGTGGCCAAACTCTAGGGGTCAGGAAGACAACAGCTCTCACAGTTCCTCACCTAGTATAAGCAGTGCTGCCTGGGGGATGATGGGATTTGTTGTCCTAAAAGTTAACATTCCCAAGCTGTGCTCTCACAGATCAGCACACATCTAATGTTCAGCCTGTATGTGGGCTCAAGCAAAATATTGTACTTCCCAATGGAATAACTTTTTTTTCTTTCTCTACCATCAGATCAAGAATTCTGCTCAGAAGCTGCCAAGTGTTGTCAGTTTGGGGTGGATGAATATGGCTGGATTGCTGCAGCGGTCGGTTGGAGTCTCTGGTTTCTCACCCTGATCCTTCTCTGCATCAGTAAACTCATGAAACTCAGGCCTGATGAACCGAAATACCTAGAAGCATGATGCCTGGCAAAACTGACCAATACTTGCACCTGCCAACATCATATACAAAGGTGCAAGGAGAGAATTGAAAAAGGATTAATTTCACTTGCTCTGTTGCTGAAGTGTGGGGGGGAAAGGACATTTATGTATGGCTCCGTGCAAAAGGGAGCCAAGGAGAAACTGGCAGCTGAGAAGCCATGCTTCAGTGTCCATGTACATCCGTCTATCTCATCAAGTTTTGGGGCAGGGGAACAACTTCATATGGCATGTATTCACAGTCCCACCAAACAAGATTGTACTGCTTTTCTTTATTCTCTTGAGTGCGCTTGTTAAAAGTTTATATTTTTCAGTGGCGATGCTGGCTGGGGAATTTTTAGAAATGGAATCTAAAATGTAACATTTCCAAGTTCTGCTTACTTGTGAATTCTCCATGTGTAGTGAAATCCATCCCCTTTTAAGTTAGTAATGTGATGTATTGAAGACACCATCTCTTGAATCAAAACTTGTAACTTCTGCTTTCTTTTTCCCTTTCTTTCTCTTTTTAAAGTGAATCCAAGCCATGCCACAGATAATCGAATAAAAATGGGCGGGTCCTTCAGAAAGTAGCAGTGTTTTTACTTCTGTATAGGGCTGTATAGCAAACATGAAGCCAGCTGTTTGCACAACAACTCAGTTGTGTTTTCATTCTCCAGCTCATTTCTCCATGGTTGCACAGTCATTACAGTACAAACATTGATGGTTTTTTTTATTATGTTGTAAAAGCTGTGGCATTCACTAGAAGTATTCAAAGGGCCAGGAAGGCTTAAACCAGAACTGTTTCGATTAGGTATTTTTACCAGAGGATTTTGATAAACAGTTGGTTTCCTAACACTGCATATTGTGACAGCAGCTAGGATTCTGTTTGCACAACGTTGGAAAAACAAAGTAATACCAAGAGAAGAAGAGATAATTAAGAAGATTTTAGATTGTGCAGAAATGGATAGACTTACACTGAGACTAAGAGAGAGAAAAGATTCAGAATACTTTAATACGTGGAATTTGTTCTACAAATGGCTAGAAGATCGGAGAAGGGATTAAATCACCAAGAGATGCAAAACCCACTTCATCAAATGCAATATATAAAAACTAGAATTATTACAATTTAAAATCTACTCAACTTGTTTCAGCTAAAACAGTTTGTGGCTTTCGGCTGGGCAATAATTTGTGGTTTGTCCTGTGCATCTTCTTAGGGCTGTTTTTTAGTTCCACATTATTGATGGGCTGAATTGCATTTGGAAGATTTTAAAACTGAATGAATCTACATCTTTATACATCCTGAGACTTTTGCATCTCTTTCATAATGAATTCATTGGATGTTACCAGTATCGGAGAAGGGATTAAATCACCAAGAGATTTTCATTTCTTTCTTTTCCCCCCCTCCACCCTGTTTCACACTCAACTCTGTTAAATTGCTGGATAGCTCAGTGGTTTAAGCATCTAGCTAAGAGGTTGGGAGCTTGATTCCCTTCGGTGCCTCCATGACAGGGGCTGGACTCGATGACCCATAGGGCCCCTTCCAGCTATGCAGTTCTAAGATGATGATGATGATGAAACTACCATCAGAACTCATTCAGGTAAGTTAACGATAGCTCAGTGGTTTAAGCATCTAGCTAAGAGGTTGGGAGCTTGATTCCCTTCGAAGCCTCCATGACAGGGGCTGGACTCGATGACCCATAGGGCCCCTTCCAGCTATGCAGTTCTAAGATGATGATGATGATGAAACTACCATCAGAACTCATTCAGGTAAGTTAACTTGATAGACACTGAGGTCCTTCTCTTGTAACATTGGTTGATCAGTTCAGCACATTCAATTTCATTCACTTACAGTCACAGCATTAAATAATCTTAACTCCTACAGCCCCATCCTACATAATCCTGAGATTTGTTGTTTTATAAGACAGTTAAGAGTTCTGTGCTAGAGCACCTGAACACAGCACTGGAGCTCTTTCTCACGAGTTTTGTCTGTCTCACCAAACGACAGATCCCAGGCCAATGCAGTTAATGCAGTATCAGAACACTGTAACTGTGTGGTATAAATAAACTCAGTGACTGACTTGAGGCCATCCAGGGAGCTTTATGACTGAGTTTGGTTTGCATCTCAGACTTGGCAGTTACTAGTCCTTGTCTGACGGTGCAACTCTACACCACACTGGCTGTCATGCACGCAGAATAATTTGCCATAGAGAGTTGAACGCAAGACATAACACTGCTGTGTGACGCTGGAGCGATGGCTGTCTTTGGGGCCCGGTGTGCTATATGTCTGGGAGTGCAGTTGTGCTGGCATTTGCTGTATTCCAAGATTTCCTACATACTTAATAGATGAGGAATAAGAAAAGGAATACAGTAAAACAGACATTTGCACCAGAAAGGGAAAAAGAAAAGCAACCAGAAAGTAAAAGATCCAAAAATGGGATTTTCAGCAGAATATCCCTGATAATAGAGTGGTCTTTTAGACCAGATGGGCGGGATATAAATCAAATCAAATCAAATCAATAAATAACAAGAAAAAGCAGTAACACATTCTTCAGATAAATCAGAAACCAGGAACTGGTCATGGAGGTAGATTAACCATATGTTGGCCAGACAGGTAAGGTCATACCAAAAGGGAATAAGGGAATTGTGGAGACATTGGATGAATTCATTGTATTGTTCTTTGCTACAGAAGATGGAAGGCAGGTACCTTTTTCTGTTACAGTTACCAAAACCTCATGTTTTATCTCCCAGTGGTTCAAAAGTAAGTGAAATACTGTGTGAATTGATATTTGCAATTAGTGAGTCTGAGGAATGTGTTGGAAAGATATGATCTTACTAACAAACTGAAAACAAAATCACAGTGTCTCCAGATGCTATCCAAGTGAGAGTTCTGCACAAAACTGATCTTTGCTGGTCTTTAAAAAAAGAAAAGGGAAGAAAAGATAAGGCGTATAGTTCCCTCAGGAGCAGCAGGAAAGTGGATGGCATAATTAGTTTTTAAAAGGGATCCAAAAAATCACATGTCTGCTTGAGGTAAGCTGCTCAAATAATTACTTACGAAGTTATCAAACATATAGGCTAGTCTTCTTGAATTTGGTGCCCAATTTGATATTTTGGTACACAACTCCCATTATGATCCTGCTTGGGCGTTAAGATCACCAGGAGAGGCTTTCCTCTCAGTCCCACCACCTTCACAGATATGTTTGATGGGGATACTGGAGAAAGCCTTCTCTGTTGGTTCTTCCAGACTTTGGAACTCCCTCCCACAGGAAGCCAGTCGGACCCCATCTTTGCTGTCTTTCTGCAAGGAGGCAAAGACCTCTCTCTTCAAGCATGCCTTCCCTCAGTAACTGGCTTGAATGAGCAGGATTTTTTAATGGATTATTTTGAATTAGTGCTTTGACTTGTTTTTAGTATTGGTTTTGTGTACCATTTCTCAAACTGATATATGTTTGCTCCTTTCTAATATTTGTATACATTTTTTTAACCTTTAAATAGTCTTTTAATGATGTGAGCTACTGAGTGGCTTGCCATTTCCTACTCCAGGTGTTTCTAGCTTTAAATATTGTCTGTTAATGATGTAAGCCACCTTGGGTCCTTTTAAAAAAGAAAGGAGGAGTAAAAACATCTTAAATAAATAAATAACTCTCATAATCTCTGACCCAAGCTGACTAGAAGTGATAGGAACTGTAGTATGAATAAATCTAGAAGGTAGCAGGTTGTGGGAGGTTGATGCATCATAATACCATCCTGGGGATAGGGTGATCCATAGGGCTTCTGAAAATCTAAGTTATTGAGAACTAGATTTTTAGGGTGTATTGAGAAGGTCGACAAGCATGTTGGCAGATGGTCTGGCTGAGATTTTAACTTGAATTTTCAAAGTGCTTTTATCAAAATCCTTCATTAGAGTCATCTGAAGATAATTGGCAATAGGGTCTTTATAATTCTATTGTGCTTTCCCCCCTTGCTTTTATTATGGATGCACTGTAATAATGATATCAATCATAACACATCAGTATTTTCAATGTGCAAAATTACATAAAAATACTGTTCTTATTAAACTATCCAAAGGTCATAACAGAAATCTTGAGCCTAAATTCATCACTTTTCCCTCGGCCAAAAAAATAAATACATTAAACTGTGTGTTTACGAATTTATGTAATCTGAAAATGCTAAGGGGTAGAACCGAGATATAAGAAAAATTGCAGTTACTGGATGGTATACAAAATGAACCACTGTTTACCGGTGAAGGGATAACTCAGTTTAACAGTTCAATGATCCACAACTGTAAAAACTGTATTCTTTACTTGGGCATTTTTACAGAAGAGGTTCTGTAACTTCAAAGTCTTATTTCCTCCAATTAATCCCAAAAAGTCTGTAGGAACCCCAAAAAGGGGTCTAAAAGCTTTGGAACTGATGAACGAAAACACCCTGAAGCACAGAGCCTCGTGGCGCAGTGGTTAAACTGCTGTACTGCAGCCAAAACTGTGCTCACAACCTGGGGTTCAAATCCCAGGTAGCCGGCTCAAGGTTGACTCTGCCTTCCATCCTTCCAAGGTCGGTAAAATGAGTGCCCAGCTCGCTGGGGGGGGGGGCAATGTGTAGCCTGCATAATTAACTTGTAAACCACCCAGAGAGGGCTTGAAGTGCTATGGGGCGATATATAAGCAGCATGCTTTGCTTTGCTTTTAAGCCATGACAAACTATGGGTGGGAAAGATTTTATACACATTTAGCCATACTTACAGCAGGTGGAACAAAGGCTAAAACCCTACGCACACTCACCTGAAAGCAAGCTCTGCTACGTGCCGGAACTTGGGAATAAATATTAGATTACTGTACTCTGTAAATTTTTGAAATATGAGATTCTACATCACTTCCATACTTGTGTCTCATATTTTGCACATGAATCGCTGTCAGGCGATCTGATCCATGATCTATTAATGTTAACTGATATTCGACTGCGACCAAGAAAATGGAACAGATAAATGTGTGTGCAACTTAATTTGCTCCTGGTATTCCTGCTACTTAATGGCAGAGCATGTAGATTGCATAATCACAAATTCAATCTCTGGCACTTCCAGTTTGAAGGATCAGATAGGACATGATGGAAAGACTTGTACGTGAAGTTGCTAGAGAGCTTCTGAGAACCAAAGAAGACAAATTGCCTTGTGTAAGTCCTTTCCTTAACTCTTCCCATTTACTTTCTTCTCCATTCATTTCCATTTACTTAGAGCCATACACTGTGATGAGATGCTTCATCAGAATCAGTGTTAGCAACAGTGGGAGTTCTTCAGCACCACTGGACTAAGGCTATGTAGATGCAAGTATTCAGCAACTTGACCAAGACTTTGGAACTGTAAGCAACATTACTCAGCTTCTGTATATCCCTAATTCATCTGGACAATAGCACAATCCTGAAAAATTTTATATGCCTTCAAATCACTATTGACTGATGGTGACTCTAATGGGATTTTCAAAGTCTGTGAGATGTTTGTGGTGATTTACCAGTGTCAAAGCAGTGCATTTTTGTGCTTCAAGGAAGATGTGAACCCCAGTGTCCCAAGTCCTAGTCTGATACTCTACTCACTGGCTCTGTTAAACCTAGTCTTTGATCAATGCAATACTGCCCTGAAACAAAATCCAATCCAACCCTGGTTATACAGGTGATTTAATGGAACTCAGTGAAATAGAGAGCAGTAGCCTCGTATTTTTCCTGAACAACAATTCTTACTGTCTAATAGGCAGTTCTCTCTCTCTTTCCCAGACTAAATGTCTTCCAATGATTTCAAAGCCCAATTTTACACTTGAGGAAGGGAAGTACTAAACATGTCATCTTGATACATCCCTTGAAGTTGTGTACAGTCATCATTAAGACAAAAAGAGCTGCGATAGCTTTTTGCTATGCTCCATCAGCAAGCTTCTTTCCCACTGCGCACCGAAGCTCCACTTGTCACACTCTTGACAATTTCATATATATTCAGAGAGAATGCATTGGAAACCAAACAAGTCTGGAAAAGCACCTTTGAAACCATCTCCTGGGTACTGCAAAATTTAAGAAGTTATCTACAATTGAAGAGAGACATCCAAAAGGAGCAAAATATTTTCAGATGGTTTGTTACTGAATAGGCCATTGAGACATATTGGGTTTGCAAATAACCTGCTTCTGGGGGAGTTGGAAAGGCTACAACTGCTTTGTTGATAAGAGGGGGGCATGAATTCAAAATTAGCGACTACACTACTGTTGAGTAAATCCTTTCCTACAAAATTCTGGTAATTCCTTGCCACTGGCTTCTAACGAAGATGATTTCCAGACATTACTGATGATTTCTTACCATGGGCAGCCATCTTAGAAAAAGTCTGCCCTTCATTCTCTAGCATTTGAAGTTTAGCTTCCAATGTAATATAGGCTGTTGCTACACATTAAACTTGTTCCTCTCCCTCATTTCTTCTTTAACAGCAAATACACACTTATTCCTCCAGAAAGCTTTGCATGGAGCCTGTAACAATTTTCCTCCCTTGAATTTGTAGGCACCCTTCAGTCTCAAGAGGCTATGGTAAAGTGCTCTGAATAGAGGTCTTGGAACAGTGTCTAGTGTGGCTGAGAAGGCCAATTCTTCCCTTGAACCCAGCTCAGAAAAACAAGCTGCTCGAACGTCACTGGGCAGCAGCATTTATTTTCAAGTTTGAGCTGTATTTCTACTGTCTTCCAGTTACAAACCTCTTTTGTTTTTAATCCTGTGTGAGAAGGTTCTTGTGTAGCCCCCCCCCTTTTAATCCCTCAACATGACCACTTCAGAGTCTCTTTCTTGCTTCAAATTTCCAACATTTATTAATAGTTGCCCAGCAGTGGCATTTATAGCCATTCTCTGTGTCAACTACTCTTCCCTCTCCAACAGGGAAAGGGTTCCACAAACTCCTCCCCACCATCTGTCTTCCCTCAAGTTCTCTCCCAGCCGTGGAGTTTCCTCCTTCAACTCCATTTCCTGTGTGGATTATGCTGGCAACAACATTGGCAACAGTGACCCTCGGTTCTTTCTTCCACCACTCTCAGTCTCTTTTGGCCCTTCGTGTGTCTTCCAGCCCCTTTGCGCCTTCTGGGTTCTCCATCCAGACAGGAGAGGAGGGCTCCATCGGGAACTCTATTGTGTCTCTCGTTTTTTCATCGCTTTCACCCCTCTGAACCTGTTCTTGTTCTTGCTTCATTTTCTCTTGCTTTCCTGTTTGATGGTTTCTTGAGAGGGGTCTGGTTTGTTGTCATCTCTCTGTCTCTTTCCCAGCACCATCAAATTATCCTATTTCCCAGGATTTTAGTTCTATCCACTCCCACCCTTCTTCTGGGAGTACACACTCTGGCTTCTTCTCATTCTCTGACCATCCAGCCTCCTCCTCCTCTCATTTCTCTGTCTTCCTTTAATATGTTTGTCTCCTCTTCTCTTCCTCCCCCTCCTTTTCCTCTTCTTTCCTCACCCTCCCACCCAAGCCTGGGCTTCTATCTCCTTCTTCTGATCCTTCTTTTCCTCCACTCTCCTGGTTTTAATGGATCAGTGTCCTTGTGGCCCTCATCCTTCCAGGGAATATAGTATAGCAAACAGGTAGGAGGCGGTTCCTTCCAGTCCCCATTCTTACACCTTGTTCATTTTATTTGAAAACTTTCATGAAATACATGGCTCAGCTCCACCTGCCATAGCTACAAAAATGGCACACAGCCCCCGGACCACAGTTTGTGCAGTCCTGTTAAGTCAAAAGCATCTGACACAATCACCAAGGAACTCTGGCTTAGTGTTGGTTAGCAAATTGCCCGTGCATTTATGAATCATAGTTTATGGAACCAAATATTCAAATACAATTCATGACTTAAAATTAATGAGATGGCATTTTTGGTGGTTGTGTTATTTTGACAATACAGGATATTAACCTGGGTGCACCAGTATGGGAAGATTTAGTCTTCTAGATCCATTTTTGGAAATGTCCTCAAGTTCCAGCCACTTGTAATGTGTATCTCTTTTGTTTGTTTGTTTGTTCTCCATTTTTTACACACAGCCAGGACAAAAAAAATGTCCTGATAAATCTATGGAATTTTCCTATTGGGATGACATTCTTCAGAATACTATGCACAATGAAGAAATGAATGTATTCTGATGGGCAGTATAATTCTAAGTCAACTGATAAATCTCAACACTGGGAGTCACATAACAACACATTCCAGGAACTTTGGATTTTTTAAAAAATTGTGGATGTATGTCTCAGCTCCTGCCAACCTTGCAATTCAAAAGCATATAAAATGCGAGCAGATAAATAGATACCACCATGGTGGGAAGGTAACGGCATTCCCGTGTCTAGTTGCACTGGCCACGTGACCACGGAAACTGTCTACGGACAAACGCTGGCTCTATGGCTTGGAAATGGGGATGAACACCGCCCCCTAAAGTTGGACACGACTGGATTAAATGTCAAGGGGAACCTTTACCTTTATGAGGAATAGTATGTTCAAAACCAAGTTTCTTCTCGCATCCTCTCTTAATTCTGTCCCTGCACACAAGATTTTCATTATGTAAAACAAAGAAATGGATCATCTTAATTATCCCAAATAACTGTACATAAATCATATCTGCATATGGATCCCATTGGTTATGTAGAGAGTCCCAAGAGCTTCAATGGGAAGGAGTCAATCTACATGTAAAAGAAATACGCATATGAATGAGGTCCTTGTATGGGATTGTATCAGAGAGCATTAATGCCTCCATGCCTGAAACATGTTCCTTCATGTTTCAAGCATGGTGTCCCAAGTAGCACTGGTGACTGAAACACCAACAAAAGAAGGTTCAACACACCAGAGAGTTCACCTCTTCATAGACCAAAAAATTATTTATCAATGCCCTAAAACTGTGAACGCACTGATGCCACACTTTCACACAAAGAACAGCTTTCAAACTATCTTGGTGCCACTGCTTTAGCTTTAATTTAGTCTAAGTTAGAAACAAAACAAAACACTCCAACAAATAAAATAATTTAGTTAGATTTCTTCCACTCATATTACGCAGGTTACAATTAAGCAATGGCCATACAACAGTAAATTACATCTCACCACTAACAGTAAAATTAAAATTCTGTAAAAACTCGTGCCTGGATGGCATGTACCGTAATATCAGTAGGAACACATACAAATGCAGAGATTGCCTCTAAATGGTGAAATCTAAGCTTCTGTTATTCTAAAATGGTCTGTTATCACAAGTGTTACCATTTCTGTGTAGGCTTTTACAAGAAGTAAATGCAGAGTGTTGTTTATTTACGATAAACTAGTGCTGGTGGCGTGGTCTCACCCAGGCTGGTTTTCAAGGTTCCAAAACCATCTATTTGCCTACTTTATTTTTTATATTAAAAAGAAAAGCAAGCAGCACATCTGCATTCACGACCTTTGGCAAATTAACAAAAGGCTTAACCCACCACAAAATACTCCCAACTTCAAACACCTAGAAGTTTCCACCAGTGATCTTCAGGGAGTCCCTAATAACTAATCTGCACACTATGGCCTAAAACCCAATCATTACTCCAAACTAGAGTAAACCCATTTAATCCGTGGAATTTAGATAAACGCTGACTTAACAAGTTCCCATTAATTCAAGTGGGGAGTATTTGGATTTAGGCCTACGTTTTAAGATATTATGTGCCTTAAAGATGGAATCAATTTATAGCAAACTTAATGGGATTTTCAAGGTAAAGTAATATTTAAAGAGTGGCTTTACCAGTTCCACTCCTCCAGTGAGTTTCAATGGCTCAGCATGGACTGATACTCAGGTACTCCTGAGTCCTAATTCATTGCTCTATTCACTACACCACACTGGGCATCTCATTTTAAGGTATAAAGTCTGCTTTCCTCGCTCAAAGACACACTTAAAACATAGTGTGTTGAAAGTGGTTGTTTAAATGAAAGAAATGCATAAACTGAAGCATGAACATGTGTGGAAATGTGTACTCCACAGTCAGAGACCAATCAGAGAACTAGGTGGCAGCAATTTTCAAGTGTACCTTGTTAGCTCTCTCAGGTTTGGTATTGTGTAGTTTGTGGAAAGATGCTTTTGCTTCTTTCCGAGTGCTTGTTGCCTCATCTGGGTAGGCTAAATATTAGACATCCACTTCAAGTGCGATTGAGGATCCACTGGAGAAATGAATTTTCATTCAACTTTGGTGTTTCTCACAAACTGAAATGTTCAAATTACATCTTAAAATACCACGTGTTCCTACTTTATTAACCTCATGAACAAACATCATTTGCATGAAGCATGTGCCGCACATGGTTTGAGACACATGGCCTCTTTCAATCTAAGAAAGGATGGTGGCTTTTTGCATGAGAATCGCTATTTCTTTTAAAAACAGGGAAATCCAGCTAGAGTAGGTCAACAAATCTAAGTTTCATTGATTTCACTGCTGTATTCCAGCTGGGACAAACAATTCCATTTAGAAGTGGGAAATGCTTCAATAGAAATGCTCATAAGCAGGGGTCATTTGGATAAGTCTACAAATGGCTTCCCTCCATGGAATACATCTTTCAATACAAAGATGCCCACTACAAACAATGGCAGACTCAGGTAAAGGAAAGGTAGCTAGAGTTAGAGCTTCAGTGACCACCTTCCTCCATGAAAGCTGTATTCAATTATATTTATTTACTCAAAATATTTATACCTTTGCTTTTCCTATTGTTTGGGCCATATTATGAGGGAATAAAAAGTGTTGCAATCTCATCACTGTATCAATATATACAGAGCTTGGAAAATTACTTTCTAAAAGTAAAACATGGCATGTTACAAGGCCCATATAAGTAACTGGTTGCCATTAACATTACAAACATTTGTTACTCCTTCCATCACCATTTTTTTCACTAATTTTTGGGAGGAGAAAAACACAGGATTGAAAAGAATGAAACTTGAAAAACATGAAAAAAAATTTTCTCAAAAGGTGTATAAAATGCCCTTTGAAAGTAACTAGAAATCATCACAGCCCTCCAATTCATGTCATTCCCACTTATTACCTTACTCCAGAAACTTTCATTGTACTTGCAGTAACCCGTTACTTTCAAGCTCTTCTGTATCACTTGTGAAACTGACCTGAACATTTCTACATTTTAAAATCAATTCAGTATACATCCACCAAGAAATGAGTCCCTCTTGTGTTTTTTTTTTAAAAAATTGTTCATACTTCCAGCCTGAATTATTATAAATGATTATATCCTTGATTTTTGTTTGCGTGCTTTTTGTTTTTTCTGTGTGTGTTTTTTTAAAAAGGCCATCATTTCAACTTTGCAAACATCAGGATGAAGGGACACTTTGAAGCTTCAGCACCAGAAGAACAACAAGGAAGAGTGCAGAGGATGGCTTCATCTGGAAGCACAGAGCAGTATTAACAATGACTATTGTCCTGGTTTAACAAGTTGCTCCAAAGTCCTTTCTTTGAGGAGTCTTAACAAAGCTCTCATTAAATTAATTGCTTGCACAGGATCAACACCGTTTCTTATAGGTCTGAAGAAAAACACATCAATAGCACACCCAGTCCACCTTCAGGGACATGTCTGAAGCCACAGGATTCTTGCAGCCTCTTGTGAAACTACCACCAATTCCGGCTCGCAAACTTCACTCTCCTTCCATAAGCAAGGGAGTCTCACACTCAAATGCACCGTTACTTTTTCTGCAGTGTTTAGGTTCTGGAGCAGAACTGAATAGTCCCAGCCTGGGCACAATTATAATGCCTAAAATGCTTTAAAAGCAGCAGGTTAAAAGATTGTCAAGTGTTAAACTGTTCACGGTGGCCTTCTTCGCTTTCTCTCATTTCCACACAGAAGTGTCTGTCTTGCAGCGGAATTCTTTTCTGTTTGGGTCATAACTTGGGTTACTGTACAAGCTCACTCCTCTGATAGAAGAACAACAGGCTCTTGCTGATTTCCTGCGAGTCTAGCTTCCACAGGAAGCAGATATTTGGCAGATTTGCAAGGAAATGACAAATCAGCTGTGGAAGTTCTGCACAATGGTCTGTTTCTGAGAGAGCCGAAGGAGCTCCTCTCGGATTGCTTTGATGAGAGAGGCCGAAGAGTGGCCTGGCTGGAGGTCCTCAGTGGAGCTGGTGTTGTAACAGAGCCCCGGGCCCTGGTGGTTGCTGTGTGGAAGCTGAACAGGTGGCGCTGAGGGCTGTCGGGCCGAAGTCCTCGGCATCTGGAATACTGGTGAGGAGAAAAATTCTTGATGTCCAGGCATATGTGTCTGAGGAGAGGCACAGAGTGTTACTGCAGTTTCTGCTTGAGAAGCAAAAGTAGAAAAGATGAACAACAGATGGAAAAACAAGCAGAGATGGGAGAGAAGAAAGCAGCATGTTTCTTTTTTATCCAAAATGTAAAACTAAAAGGTTGAATCCCTTATGTGGGGGAAGTCTTTCTGTTTCTCAGCTGGAACCTTAGAATCTCCAGCTGTTCCACAAATATATTTTTTTCTGACATTATTTTCAAAGGGGTAGTGATGTTAGTCCACCACAGCACAGACAACAGAAGCTTGTATCCCCTGAATACAAACTCATTTTTCAAAAAAAATGGCATATGTTTGTATGGACTAGGACTCCACATCATCAGTGTAATCTGGGCCAGTATCCTCTTGCAGAGCCAATCTTACAAGAGGAATGATGTCACCAGCAAAGACAGACGGCTGCTAATGAATAATGTCCCTTTCTTCTCATTTTAGGGTGTGTGCGTCCTGTGAGCAAGGAGAAAAAAAATCACACAGCTCTCTTTTTGACTTTGAGTCTATTTCCATAGGGCCCATCTGTCATTGTTGCTGATGCCATTCCAGTTGTGCCATTGGAGCTCTGCAAGAAGATACAGGCCACTGGTGTAGAGACAGAAAATAAGAAAGAGCTGTGGTCACTTTACATATTTTACGAACATTTAAGCTTTGCTGCAGCTTCACAATTTTTTTCTTTGTTTCCTTCTGACTGTATTGGTTTACATCACTTTGGGAGCCCTGGTAAGAGGGAAAACTATAGAGAAATGCTTTATAAATGAGATAAATCAATAAAAGCCCATGTTAATATATGAGAACCCTTCACACATCTAATGAAGTAGGTTCTAGGTTGTCAAAATATAACAGCATTTCCCAATCATGGGGCCATGACCCCGAAGGGGAATGTAAAATGTTTTTGGGGTGGTGGTGGTATCACAGGTTGCCTTAGATGTGTCTTAGCTTTTGTTAAATACTTTCTTCCTTAACCTTTCAGAGCTGGATATTAAAATTAGCATGCATGTGCATATGTAAGAAACAAGTCCTTTGGCAGAGAAAGAAGCCTCTAATTTTTGCTTTGACTTTATCACATTAAAGATGCCTTTTTATGCAAACATGGCAGGGAGTTCACATGGTTACATGGCTATTATAAAAAGGGTCACAACACAAAAAAGGCTGGGAACCACTAATTTATAGGATATCACAATATACTATTTTTTTTTCACATTGGGATGCATGGTAGGTATAATAACCATTTAGATGTATCAGGATGTCTAATGCATATCCTGCTTTCACATCCAGTAAAAATCAAATGCTTGTTCAAACTATCCATATTTTGCAAAACACCACACAGGAACATGTTGTTTTTAAAAAGGTAGTTGATTCATCTAAAAAACTAGTCCATGTTTCAAAAAAGGGGAAGTGGGTGAAAAACCGGGGTAATTATTGCTTCAGAATGTGCAAAGGTGAGGACAATGCAGAGAAGACAAGACAAAGGGAAGTCACTGCATTGTAATTAATATCAATATAGAAATACATCTGAGTGAGTGAAGCATACACATCATCAAAATTAACAATGTTAGCATATTGATTGGCTTTATTCCATAATCAACCCAATAGAGCAATGCTTGGGCTTTTGAGAAGAGAGTTCCCTCCCCTCCACAACCTGTGGACTGATAAAAAGTAAACATAAATACTTTGCGGTACAGGTAAAAACAAGTTGAAGGAAGAAAGAACCAACAGAGAGCTGCAAAGCAACACTAAGCCAACAACCTTAACAATGGCAAAGGCATGCAGAAAAGATAAAGATTTGACATTACTGTGACAGCAAAATACAGGCACCAAGGAGTTTATTCCAGCAAGAACCAACAGGAGATAAAAGAGACACTTAATGCTGTGCTTGAGATCACACTAGAAGTAGATGGATGATTCAGATGTGATTGTGCTGAAGTCAGAGGCCATGGAGACAAAACCAGACTATTCCTGGTCTAAAAAGCCAGGTGACACTAGAATGTCAATATAATTCTACTTGCTGATTTCCTTTACTTTGGGCAATTTGGTTCTGAAGGAAAGCCAGCAAACTGTCTTTCGGTACTCCGAGCGTGTCAGTCTTTGGCCGGCCTGCAGCCCATCTGTCTGTTACCTCCCACCTCAGCTGAGCACTAAGTATCAGCTGCTTGGGCACCTATGATGTTATGCATAGACGTAAGGAGGTTGCTTAGGGCACAGCAGCACCCAGCACTTCCTTAGTAATACTGCATGTATTACATAATGCCTGAAAGAAACTCACTTGCAAAACCAAAACACCTGTGTGTGAGGAGGCAAGTGGTTTTTACACTCTTGAGCACCTTCCTAACTCATAATCAAGCTTTTCTATGATGGGAACAGGCTTCCACTGACAACAATCAGGAAGTCTGGAGCTTTTGGAGGATGCAGTGAGAAGGGAGATGTAATATACTTTCTGTCTAGAGTGGCTTCAGGAAAGCAATTTCAGAGACACAGAGTCCACTGAGAGCATACAACAATCTGGAGTCTCCTTGGACAGTGGACTACAATCCTCATCCTCCCTAGCCACTGGCCATACTGGCAAATGGACCATTAGCCATACAGGGAACTGGCGTCCAGCAACATTTAGAAAGCCACAGGGTTCCCCCACCTCTCTTGTAAAGGGTGAGAGACAAAAATGAGAAAGAAAAGGATAGAGAAGCAAAGATTCAGGGGCTAGAATACGAAAGAGACAAAAGCAGTAGCTGAAGGTGGAGGAAGATTTTAAAAAATAAAAAGCCTTGGGAAAAAACTCCCGAAACAGTAAAGGGTGAAAATAAAGTAAGTGAACACAAGAAAACTGCTTCAGAAACTATTTAAACATGAAGCACAGTACTCACTGCATCTCTCCTAGCATATTCATCCTCTCCACGATATGGGGGCCACCCTGGTTCCCCCGGCTGGCCATGCCCTGCTCTGCCTGAGGGGATCTCCACTTGTTGACCTCCGATCCTGCTAGCAATTCCCACCTGAGTGAGGTGCTGTATCTGAGAACCTTAAAAGCAAATATTGTTGGTTTTTTCTTTCATCTTTCCATGCAGTAACCAAAGTGTGGAAGGCAAATAAAACTGAGGGCCCAGGGGAGGGTGGGAAGGTGGGGGATAGAAACACAAAGGTAGAAGAGGGTCAAAGTGTGCAGGGAGAGGAGCTCTGAACTTTAATTAACTAAGGCCTTTCAAAAAAAAAAGAGACAGCAAGTTTGGGACAACAAAAGGACCTATGTGCATGCAATTTCCATGTCCTTTTTGGAAGCAGAGTGTTGTCCAGGTGGTTCAAAATTAGGGTAATCTTGTACACAGGCTTGTGGGGTACAGAAGTGGAGAAAGGAGAGAAGATATACAAGGTAATGTGTCTGGCCCCACTGAGCCATTATGTTGTGAGAATTTTTAAATATTAACCCAGGAGGTTTACATGCTAGTGATTCTCCCTTAGTGTTAGAGATAAAATATTTGCTTACTTCAGGACACTCAGCTGTACAGTAATAGCAGGAGATCAACTAGGAGAAAGTCATTCTGAAATCAGTTTCTTAACTGAGTAGAACACTGTGAGCACACACTTTCACCACTGCCTCTTGAAGCTGCGAGGCAGTGACCATAGCCAATCAGATCAGTCACTGGGAGACATCCTCAAGGCTCATCTATTCATATACAGTATTTGCTTTTTATGCTGCCTTTCTCCTGGTGAAGGACTCTAGGCAGCTCATATGTTATTAAACAAACAGGAATTAAAACAAAAGACTTAAACCCTTAAAAAGCTACTAAACATGGTGATATTAAAACACATATCTAAAAAAAACATTAAAGCAATATAAAACAATATAAAATATATTGCTAATGTTTATTTTGGGGGGGGGGAACCCATCAGGCTGGAACATCCCCATATGTAAATCACTGCTTTCCCATTTAACACATGGATGTTTTATGTTCTAACAAATACACGGTCAGGATATCTGTGTTTTAAACCAGATAAAGGAAAAAGATGATTTTACTCATGCATGTATCCTTCATAAATGTGATTGTATGGATGTATATTATATGTGAGCATCAGAATCAGTTTATAGAATATACCATAAATACTAGAGGTAGGGGGGATATTGAACTATCCTGTGTCTTCAAATCCAGTACATGTGAATCTCATGTTTTACTTACTATAGCCATATAAATATAGGAGCTGAAATCCTATTGTGCAGCTATGCAAATGGTATAATTTTTAAATGTAAATTGCTGTAAGTTAAGGAATTTCCACAGACTGTTTCATGCTAAGTTGGGTGACTCAATATGCAGCAGAAAATGTCTATGGAGATTTCTTAACTTATGGTAATTCATATCTAAAAGCTGCTCCGCTTGCATAATTGTATGACAGGATTTTAGTCACTGTGTTAAAAGGCAATCTATGGGCAAACAGCTTTCGTAGACAAAACTGCTCCTTCAGTAGTGCTAGGAAACTTAAGATAATCCCTTACGCTTATTGCTTTCTCTGTATGACTATTAAAATAGTGCAACTGAATTACATATACATCTAAGTATGCATTACAACTGCATGGTTGAATTGAACAACAACAACAACAACAAAACAGAACCTATGCCAATGGATATGGATGAATATTTCCCAAGGGAATGAATGAAGCTCCTTCCTGACCCTGGCCAATGCTCAGCTAGAAGTGTATAGTACTGGATGTGCTACAATTACCTTTAATAGCAAACCTATAAGCAAGTCCTATCTGTATACAAAGCCACCCAGTTCCTCCAAAGGTCTGTGTATGCCTATTGTCATCAGAGCTGAAGGGCATTAGTCACATTCCTCACCTGTATTCTACATTTAGGGATTGCCTTGGTTGCTGAATTGCAGAACTTATAAGGTGGAAGCATTACAGCATATAACAATCAGGAATCCCTAAGTACCTGCAGTGCTTCCAACTGGTCGCGGCCTTGCCACAGATGGCGATTCCTCTGGGTAGATCCCTCTACTGGAATACTGAACATCAGAGGTCTGGGTGTCTGGGTGTATTAATTCAACAGGGGGAAGAAAACCTGGACCCAGATTTTGCCTGCTGGCAGAGGAAAAATGCAACACAATTGACTTACATTCTGAAAAAAAAACAACCCATCAGTATCCTATATTCCAACTATTCATTCATTCATTCATTCATTCATTCATTCATTCATTCATTCATTCATTCATTCATTCATTCACTTGCTTACTTACTTACTTATAAATGAACATTTTTACCCCACCTTTCTCTTTAAGAAGGATTCAAAGTATCTTGCATCATTAAAAGACAATATATAAAGCAGCAAACAGTAAGTACACAATACTGAAAGGATCAAACAAATACCACAGTAAAGGACAGTGAACTAAAGCGACACCAAGTGCACATTCAAAGCAGTAAGGCTCAGTCATCCATTTAAAAACCCCTCTCAGACAGCCAGTTACGCAGGGAAAGCTTGTGTGAAGAGAAAGGTCTTTGCCCATTTGTGGAAGGACAGCAAAGATAGGGCCAGCTTAGCCTCCTGTGGGAGGGAGTTCCACAGTCTGGGTACAGCGACAAAGAAGGCTCTCTCCAGTGTTCCCACCAAACATGCTTATCTGTTTCACTATGTGCAGCTCTCTTCTGACCTACTTACTGCCTTGTGATATGCTCTGCATGTTAAGCACAGCTCTATGGGGCTGTCCTATTTGCAGCAGAGACTCTGTTCTGACTCTGGATCCAAACTGTTGTGCACATTGTCTCTTTAAAGATACTGAGAAGCACAAAATAACATCTAGAACTGCTGCCCCATAATGGATCCCTAAGAACTAGTTGCTTTCAACATTGCCCCAAATCAAATGTTCTCAATTTCAATTTGGGAAAATATGGCTGATTTTCTCCAAAGTTTCATTTTAGCAAAGCTTCTTTTATTCCACAGAGACTTGGAAAAGCTCATATTGACCCCACCTCCCCAAAACAATCCTAGGAAATAAAATCTATCGAAAAAGGAAATTATGCCTGGAAACAATGCTAATTAGAGCTGGCTATTTGCAATATAACTAGCTCTATGAGAAAAATAGTGCTTTAGAGCATGCATTTTGCTTTCCCAAACCCCAAAAATTTAGCATCTGTTTGCACAATTTGAAAGTTTAAAGAGAGAACTGTTTTTTTCCTCAGATACTAACTTATGTTGCAATTAAGTTTCTGTAGGTTTCCGTGGGAAGACTTTAGTCTCACAGGACATATTTTAGGTTTTACTAGAACCCTGAAGCTCTAAATGGGAAGAGGTTGCTATGCAAGGTCATACACTTATAATTAAGGAACAGGCTGCAGCTGAACATGTGCTCAGTCCAAGAGTAAAAAAAATATTTCGGCATAATTTTGTGTGCATGTATAAGTGGGGGTATGTGACCAACAGATCTCTTAGCAGATCAGGATCTATTTCCCACTCTTGCCTTAGTTAATCCAGCCTCTTTCTCACTTGCTATCCTGCAAAGAACTCGTATGAGGAATACCTGTTCACCCAGGTTGGTTCCAGATCACTGAAAAAACTGAAATGAAAAGGAACCATCTGTTTTTCCAATCACTGTTCCAAGAACTGGCTATTAAAACTACTTGACTGTGACATTAATGATAGTTTGGCACCACAGCAGCTCTGAAAAATGTCCCTTGAATTTCAGTGAGGCTTCCACACAAGCCTCAGAAAAATGAACGAACCCCAGAGTAACAAAGAGGCCAGATCTTAATGACTTTATGATCTTCCTTCCTCCTCTTTTCTCTGATGTGGACTTAACCCATCAACAATAATAACAACTAAACTGCATCGACCTGTGGTTTTTGCCTACAATGAAGCAAGACTCTGATGGTAGAAAGTGTTTGTTGCATTTTATTATAAGCATGGCTATTGCTCTTCAACATTAACACAGTCTCACTGGTGTAGCAGAAAGCAGCATATAAATCTCTGACTTGGGATGGACACAATCCCTACTCATACGTAGGCCTATTCTAGCTTGCAGAGCAGCAGCAACAGGCAAAGTGCAGCCTACACACTGTATGTAGAAGGTCTACCAAGCCCTCAGTGAAGCCCCCATGGTAGAAAAAAGATCAGTAAAAGAATGGGGCTTCCCATACTTTTGCGACACTTCCAGGAATGGGTTGGCTTTGTTTTTGTTTTTTCTGCATGAAGGTTTTACAAGCCTTCCCATCCCCCCACCCCCAAAACTGCAGGTGGAAGTCTGGTAACTTCCAATTTTGATTTTTGGCTAGTTAGGTTTATTTCCAGATCCTGATGGGTGCTGGAAGTGATGATGCAGTCCCAAGGTCTGCCAAAATCGACTTGCTGCTGCAGATGGGAGACAGGAGGTCCATGGCACAGTGGTTAAACTGTAGTGCTGCAGTCAAGACTCTGCTGACAACCTCAGTTCAACCCCGATGGGCTCAAGTAATTGGCTCAAGGTTGACTCTGCCTTCTGTCCTTCCAAAGTTGGTAAACTGAATACTCACTGGGAGCAATGTGTAGCCTGCAAAATTAAAATTGTAAACTGCCAAAGAGAGTGCTATAAGTGCCATGGAGTGATAGATAGTAAGCAGCACATTTTGCTTTTGCTTTACTTGTGATAGTTAGAGACTGGACCAGTGGAAGCCCTGGGCGTCTTGTCTCAATTTTTGCTCCTTCCCATGTAAGGAAGGAGTTTTGGCTGATGCAGTGGATAGAAAAGCACCACCTTCATCCTGACCTCCAGAGCACTTCAAGGTAGGGAAATTTAGTCCCCACTTCAGACTGTTTCCCTGTTTCTACTTGAAGAGAGGAAAAACAACACACAGTGTTGTGCCTCTGGGTCCAATTAAACGTTACAAGAGACACAGAGCTGCATCTGGCTCATTCCGACCATTCACAGTAACATGCAGTTTTACCAGAATGCACAATGCATCCCCACACTATGTCTTTCCCTATCCTTGCCTCACATCATTGGCTATGACTGAGAGGCCATGGAAATATGCAGCTCAAGAACTAGACAGTAAAACTAGCCATAAGTATACCAGCAGCCTCTTGTAATATCTAGTAAGTTAATCTCAAGACCTGACTAAGTATCAAGAAGGAACAGGACATTAGCATCCATGGTGTTGGAATAGTAGCAACCTGCATATTATATCTTCAAGAGGTTTGGATGGGATGGACTTTGGGGTGAATGTCAATAACATAGTAGCAGCCTGTTGTTCCCTCTCTACCTCAGATTCTTTTCCCTGCCTTTTTAACCTTGGACAAGATTCTGGGTCAATCTTGTCTGAGTTTTAAAAAGGCATTGCTAACAGACTTTGTAGCAGAGTGTTAGCAATGTCAGTATTCTGTGAGTTAAGAGTCTGAGTGAAGTGTTACGTAACCAGTCATTTATTCAAAATAATGAAGTTAACCAGTTAGGATCTTAAACGATATAACTAGTAAATATGTTTGTTTGCATTCTGATAAACAGGAAGATTTTGTGAGTAAAAGAGCTACATTTTAATTTGTTCTCAACACCAGAGTCTCTACTTGGAATCAACTGAGACTATGTTATGCCAGTTGAGGTAACTAAAAACTAACCATGCATTAAGGGGGTGGTATATCTGAGGGACACTTCCAACTATATAATAAACTGACTTGTAGGTATCTGGGTTTTTCTCTGCTGTGTAGCTGGAGTCTTTTAAGTCAGCAATTTCCACACTTTGCCAATATGTAGTAACTGTATCCCACCCTTTTCCATGCGTATTGACTTGTCTGGAATAAAATAAAAAACGAATCTTAGCTGAATCTGAAAACCAAACTATCAGAGAACTACCTCTGTAGCAGACCTGGTGCTGTCGGAGGGGTCATCCCAAATTCCATGTATCTCTGGAGAAAAAACAAAGAAACAAAAAGGTCATACATGCATGGAAACACATTTTAAAAAGAAATCTAGATTGAAAAATCGTAACCCCTGAATCCTGTTTCGCAGACATCTTCTGTTCTGGATCAATAAAGGAAAGTTAAGATACTGCACAACACTTGGTTGAACTATGAAATATGTTACAAAAGATGTTGGAATAAAAAGAGGCTTGGCAAGTTCACAGAGGATAAATCAAGCCTCTGCATACCACTTGCCCAGGAAATATTAGCAGGAAGGTACTACGACTTACACGGTCCATTGGTGGGCTTCCCAAGAGGCATCTAGGTTACAGTGGGGTCTCGACTTATGAACGACCCTACTTGCGAACAATTCAACTTACGAACCCGTCCTATAGGGGAAATAAGGACTCGACATACAAACTTCCCTCGAGTTACGAACAGGGAAAAAAGTGCCCCCTCCCTCCCCTTAGAGGCTTCTGGAGGGGGAAAAAGGGGCAGAAACTTAAAAATAAATAAAAGAAAGTCACTTACCAGGCCTTGGTAGCCCCCAGACAGCAGGAAAAAGGGCAGGAAACAGCTAAAAGCCCACACCAGAATGAGCCTGGCAGCCATTTTGTGCTTCCCCCCCCCTGCACCCTCCTCTCCCCGCCTATCAGCTGATCGGCTGGCTCTGAAGAGGCTTGGGGAGGCTTGCTCAGCACCTAAAAAGCCTGCCTGTGTGTCTTTGTGCTGAAAAAATCAGCACAACATGCTTTAAAACATGATTTAAAATTGGCTTCGTTGAAAAAAAAGATTTCTAAAGTGCTTTGCAAACTGTTCCCTATCTTCCTCCTCAGTTTCCTGAACCTAAGGGGGAAAAAAAAGAAAAAATATCCCCCTCTAGTGGCAGAAGGCAGAATAGCAGCTTCCCATTAGTTTCTATGGACGGAAAAGAGCAGATACAGATTAAACGGTTTTTAATGCATTCCTCTGCATACCACTTGCCCAGGAAATATTAGCAGGAAGGTGCTACGACTTACATGGTCCACTGGTGGGCTTCCCAAGAGGCATCTAGGTTACTCCGGGAGCACAATACTGGACTTTGGTTGGGTTCAATTGGACTATGCTGATAATTATATTTAATCTACCTTCAATCTTTGCAGTACCATAAGTCGAGACCCCACTGTACTCTGGGAGCAGAATACTGGACTTTGGTTGGGTTCAATTGGGCTATGTTGATAATTATATTTAATCTACCTTTAACCTTTGCAGTAGGATAGGACAGAGCAGAATATTAAAAGCAATTATTGGTTTTTATGAACTTTGGAAGCCTTGGTACTTAAACTGATCAATAACCAGGCTACTTACTGTGTGACTCAGGCCATATGGTGAGCCCCACTGGCTGCTTGGAGTATCCCGTGCAGTTCGAACAGGAGTGTTTGTTGGCTGTCCTCCTGACCCACCAGGGTGTGTGATGGCAGCAGAACTGGATGCTTGGCTACAGGGAGCCACCAAAGCAAAGGCATCATCCAGGAGAGAATGCATGGTCTGTCGAGCTTCTTCAATGGATGGCTGAGGAGGGACGTACGGGGAGGTATGTGGTGGCAAACCTGAAAACTTCCCCAGTTCTGCTGAAGATGGTGTATGAGGTTCAGCAGGAAGGTCAGGATCAGACTGTAAGGCATACAGAAAATTGGTAGTGTAAAGAAGACTCCCTCCATTTTGAGAGTCAGCTTTACTTGTTACAGAGTCATAATCTGTCTGTGACATTCTGCACATTCATTTGCACACATTAAGGCATATACATGTTAACTGCCTCCATTCTTTTGAAGCACATAGGTGGTGATGTCCAGCATATTTCGGAAAGCATTCTGAAACTAGCCACAACCTATAACTCAACTGTGCCATATAGTTTGTATGTTACCTTTAACTTCAAATGCCACATGATTTATTACCCTATGCTTGTATCTTCTCAACAGTGAAGATGAAGCTAAAAAAGAGATGGCACATTTTTCTGCATATAGAGGAAAGTGAAATAAATCTTCTGAGGATCCACTGAGTAGACCAAAATCACACTAAGAGAACCTATTTTATAAGTAAGGGGGTGATCAGATGAGCATATAGCCCATTATTTGCTTCACTTTTGGTGCAGTTTGGCTTGTGCTACTTTTCCAGCGACTACATGTATTTTAATTAAGTGCAATCCATCCCACTCCTTTTGCAAACTATTTCACTCCTTTCAGGGGGCAGCAGTGGGGAAGGGACACCCCAATAGGGGTGCTGCTGGAAGGGAATCTGGGCAGGCTGTTGTTTCAGAGTGCAGTTCTCATAATCCCAATGTTGCCTATAGTCCACGGCATCTGTAGTTCAAACCACTGGAAGAGCACCTGGTCAGCAACACCCCTGCATCACCATTTTATACAACACATGCTTTCACTCTTCTGATTTAAGCAAAATGTATCAGTGCTGCAAAAAACCCTTTCAACTTTGGAATATAAAGGCTGCCCTTCCCAAAGATTCAAACATACAATATAGGCAGAGTTGTTGACTCCAGGAGGTCTCTTGTAAGTTCCATCACTGTCAGTTGTGATCAGCCTGTCCTTGTCAGCATCCATTGGGCTGCCATTTATCTGATGACGCCGACGCTGTTTTGGAGAACGTTTGGCCCGCGAACTATGAAAAAATGAAGCAAAATTAAAAAGTAAATATCTTAGTCTAAATATTATTAAATCAAACTGCACCTAGAAGAAAAACTCTGCATCAGTTCTTCCCTTCTAGCCAAGAATCCTTAATATAACTGGTTGCATGACTGGTCACATGCCAAATTTTATAACCAATGCATGACCTGTTGTGCAAAGAAGACTGCTGGCAGGCAGCAATATTTAGAGCTTTGCCATTCTGTTTCCATAAATGAAGAGGATTCTGTTACTTTACAATTATTCCTGAAACGTATATAGAACCTAAATGACTTTTGGAAAATGCTTTTTAGGATTCCTAGCTTTTAAAAATCTGTCTACATGTTCTTTATGCTAAATCTTTCATCTTCTCCACGGTTTAGTATTTTTATCAGTTGCATATTACTGTTTTTACTTTTGTAAGCTGCATTGTGCACTCTGGCTGAAAAGTGACCAATATATCATTAAAAATTTAATTGCTACATGGCATAATGATTCCAACCATCAGAATATGGAGAAGATTTAGCAGAATACAGTAAGAGCCTCATGGCAGAGTGGTTACACTGCAGTAAACTGCAGCCAAAATTCTGCTTGCGACCTGGTTCAATCCCAGGTAGTCATATTGAGATTCATTCAACCTTCCATTCTTCCAAGGTTGGTAAACTGAGTACCTAGATCACAGGGGTGGGACAAGGTGTACCTTGTATAATTAAAGAGAGTGCTTCAGGTCAGCGGTCCCCAACCTTTTTGGGGCCGTGAGCCAGATGGGGGGAGCAGGCTCCATGTGCGCAGGGGGCAGGGGCACCCCTGCGCAAGCACAGTGGGTGTGTCACACTTGCACAGGTCGTGTCGTGCATGCGCATGAGCACGATACGCCCACCACAAGCACAACATGCCCCCGCGCAAGCGTGACACGCCCATCGCAAGCACGACACTCCCCTCACGTGAGTGTGACATGCCCACCGCGAGCACAACATGCCCCTGTGCGTGTGACATGCCCCCCGTGTGAATGTGACACACCCACCACGTGTGCATGCAGGGGGCGGAGATCCGTATCCATAGCCCAGTTCTGGCAAGCCCACGGACTGGAACAGTGCCACGGACCGGGGGTTCACGACCCCTGCTTTAGGTGTTATGGGGTGATATATAAGCAGCACACTTTGCTTTTTTCTTTTTAAACTGCATGGCTCGACCTGTGATATGGGCATACAGTTAACAAACCGATTTCATTATTTATTATCAGTTTTCATCATTTTTATCTTGCCTCCCACACAAAGAGACCAACAAGTTAGCCCACAATAATTATGTAACTGCTATCTTTGTTAAAAATAAAAAAAATGTAAAGCTGATCTATTAATATTAATAGAAGGCAAAGCTAGGGAATGAAACAGGTGGAAATTATTCTCCAAAACACTTCAGAAAGTGCATGATGGCCTAACCTATTTATAGAAGAAAAACATCAATAAGCTGACCGCAGAGACATCATAGGACAACATTACGTAATCAAGATGACATTGCTGAAAAGATCATTCCTGCTGGTGAACATCCACCCCAATGTAATCAAAAAAATTATTCAGAGTTAGACACCAGGTCAGAGATATCCATATTGCAGAAGGCTTGTATGGAAGAAATCACATTTAAATTAATCAAGCCAGGTCCTTTTACAACTTGGAAGTCAGTGTCTTTTGCCTTCTGCTGTCTATTCCTTTTTCGCTTTTGCAAGCTTGTCTCTCTCTCTCTTTTTTAACAGAACACAGTATGACAAGTCATTGTATTCTTTCATGTCAATAGAGAATAGATTCCACATACCCCCACTTCCTTACCTTTTCCTGGGTTCTATGAAAACAGTTGGCATATTGCCCCCAGGATCCAAGATCTTATCTATCTGCATCTGTGCCTTGCGGTACATTCTCTGCTGCTCTTTGGTATCAATAATAACCATATCATCTACAATTGGAAATTCGTAATGTCCTTTCCGCTTAGCTCGAAGTCGGATCTTGTTGCGGTGATGCTCAATTTCAGATTTATGCCTCAGAGCTGTCTGTATCTTCAAAGAAAGAAGGAATCAGAAGCAGAGAATATATTTTGTAATAAACAGTATTCCTCTGCTGTGACAGAAAGGGATCATGAGGAAAAGCAAAACTGTAAGGAGAAATAGACTGAAAACACTTCCCTCTTAAACCTCAATATTTCACTCCTTTCGTGTGTAAATCATCCACCGACTTTGCAGGGAGAAGAATTATTACACACAGCATGATGATTAACACTGCCAGAGCAATTAAGAAAGAGAGCATGGCATGCTAATAAAAATGCATGACACACATCACATTGCACCTTCTGCGGATTACCATAAAAGCATGGCAGTAAGGCAGAGGGGATCGAGGCAACAATATGAGGTTAATAGGTAAAACCCATGTGGAGAGTGCACAACCAGGCATGCTCCAAGAGATTTCCAGAACTATGACTCTCAAGAGAGCTCAGCTCATGTGCATCTGGTCTGTGTAAGTCATTCTTCTATGGGTACGTCTTCCCTGACCGCAGGTAATTCCCCTGTTTCTCTGCACTGGAAATCACTGCATGATCAATCATCCTTGATACAGAGGCGCAGCAGGATTATCAGCCCCAGCAGAAGCTGATTGGTAGGATGCAAAACCAAAGCAGTGAGCCATACATAGTGAATGCTTTCAGCCTCTTTTCCATTTTTTACTTCCTTTCATCTGTGTCTGGTCAAAGGCTTCCCTGGAGCAATGTGTTCGCCCATCTCTCCCTGTTTGCTCTTTTACTATTCTCTTATGACCCCAATTTCCTGTTGCAATTTAGCTGGTGTGCCACCTTCAAGAAAACATAGGTACACATCATGAAATACAAGTTCCTTTGTACATATAATTATACGTATATGAGTATCAAATTCAGTGTATGTACATATACAACACAGTGTGTGTATATCTTCACTCCAATCCAGTAAAGATTGACAAACACTGGGACTTAAATGCACAGATAAGCTTTCAAGACCATAACAGTTTAAGGAAATTAATAAGGGATTTGAATCCAGCTGGTAGTCCCAACTAGGGCAGACCCAGTGAAACAACGTTTAACTCACCATTAAACAACTAATCCAATGGGTTTACCCTTGTTTGGACTAGCCACTAGATTTAAACTAAGTGACTAATCCAATTACTTTGCCCATAAGTTCACCAGGTCAGACACAAAAACACATAGTGCATCTTCTTTTCCTGTTGCTTATTTCTTATTATCTTCCTCAGATGATAAGGTTCTATGTAGGGCAGTTCTTAACAAGACCTTGTGATGCTTTCGTTCCCAAGTTATCCTCTGTGATTCTGTAAATTCCCTTAAGAAGCCAACTTGAGAATGGCACAGGTCAAGGTGATAAGGAATAGAATAAGATCACAGTGAAGAACAGCATTAACAAAAGTTAAAGGATATATGCAAGTTGTCAAGTTCAAAAGATGAGTGCTTGTAAACTGCTGTAGAGCCTTCAAGCAACACTGCTACAAGGCTTACCTTCTCCAATCATAGGAACGGTGGTCAGAATCCTATCATTTATGCATGTCAGCATATGTCCTTTGGCAAACTGTCGCTGATTAAGAAGTCACCAACTGTATTTCCTGTCATACACCAGTCATGCGATTTGGCATGCAACAAGAAATGCAAACACTGACTTCTTAAGTAGCAGCAATTTCCTGCTAAAATTTACACTATGACTTATGCCAGCATAATTATTTAATTGGACTCCAGCCAGCACTTTAGTAACAATGTTAAGATATTGGCAGTGGGACCCTCCCCCGTAAGAAAAGCAAGAACATTTTATTAAATAATTTAAATTAATGATATAGATATGCTTTTAGTGTGAGATTCATGATCTTTTTATTATAGGCAGTGAAAAATGGATTGCCATAAATGGATAATATCCATTGCTAAATGGATTACCTCCTTGTTAATTTTGTTGGTTTCAGCTACTCGATCAGAAAGCGGTTGGTTCTGAGATGGAGGTGCTGCAATCGGCTGCATAGCAATTAACTGGATTTTACTAGGGACTCTCCTGCTGACTTCAGAGGAACGTGACATTCGGTCCACATGCTCAAATATGGAGGCTGAAGAGTGTTGCTCTGTTCCATTACTGATTTGTGGAGGCCCTGAATTACAAGTATAAAGAAAACAGAGGAGATGCTTGCTTAATAATTCTAGTCAAGGCCTAGGGAGTACAAGAAATTGCAATAAATTCCACATCAGCTATTCAGCCACCATTTGAATGACATCATTTAAGTCAGAACAGAAACAAAGAATCATGTTACTCATAAACATGAACATATAAAGCTGCAAGGAAGGCTTTCAGATAATTTATAGATGCTTGGTAAATAACAGGAGCAATACATGATATAGAGCAAAAACCAGGATTGAACTACAAGATATAATTTATAACATTTTTGCAAAGCTTTATTTTAGTCTTCATTTAAAATAAACTCCCTGTCACACTCCCTAAATGCCACAGACGTCTTGACCCAACAAATGGCAAATGTATAAATCAACAAAAATGTATATTAGTGTATTATTAGAGGCTTGCAAGCATTAAGTAGCACTGATTGGATTTCTCCAAGGGGTCTGAGCATGTGGATATAGTTAAATTTATCAATGGCTGCATCTATATATCTATCTGCCAATGGCTATTTTTATTGCATTAGAAAGCCTTTTAACTGATGGATGACAACTGCAGTGTTTGGTTTGGGACTCAAACTGCCAGAATCTCCCAGCATGACCTATTGCATTAGAAAGCCTTTTAACTGATGGGTGACAACTGCAGTGTTTGGGACTCAAACTGCCAGAATCTCCCAGCATGACCAATGAATGGCTCAGGCTTTCTTAAAGCTTTAGTCCAAAAAAAGAGAAATGTTTCCCAACTGTGAGTTTCACTGCAGTTCCCCCCTACCCACAAGTTTTATCCTGAACCTAAAGAACAGGTTTTTCGAATCAGCAGAGGACATGTGATGGCCGAATAAATTAAGGCACCATCTCAGAAACAGAACCAAGCTGTCAAGAGTGGCAGAAACCATTCTGAGCTCATAAACATTAAAAGCGATAACCATTTTCAAAAGGGATAACTATATTTAGGCCCTTTTCTCAACTCACACTGTCACTTGAATGGCAACTGTTTACAGGCTGTTATGGGGCAGAGAAGAAAGAGCAAGGATTATGCATTCACTGAAGAATAGGTAAAACGACATAGGTTTGATCAGTTTCAATTCACAAAGTCTATGAGAAGAAGCCCACCCCATTACAGACAATTGCACTACTGAAAGGCTTAAAGACCGTTTCAGAGAAATAAGGTGTGCAGAAGCCTGTGTGTATTTTAAAATGCAAACAGTTAAATGTGTACAGATGGAAAAATGTTTATGTAAAATGCATATATTAAGTGAAATGGGTAAATGAGTGCACATGTCAGGAAAATGTTTTTAAATAGGTATAAATGTTGATGATGGTAGCAAAAATGTTCTGCACTGGAACAGAAAAGAAGCACAGGAAGAAAATCTATGTAGGATCAAAGAAATACAATAAAATCAAGAACGGGGGATTTTTACATTCCTTGGTCAGGTAGCAGGTGATGTGAAAGCGAACTTCAAGAAATCTCCAGAGAGGCTTTGAAAACAGGCAAGGCTCATTTTAATGGATTGACAGTCTGATTCAATGTACAGCAACTTCATGTTTCTATAAAGGTAACATTGTCCTCTAGTGACAGGTGGGTGCATTAAAAAATATTGGAACTCCAATGGCATAAATCTCTGTGGCAAATTGCTACTAAATAGCCAGTTACAGTTTATATTCTCACTGTGCACCAGTCATATGACTAGGAATGGAAGAAACAGCTCTATAACTAGTGGTAATTTGCTGCAGTAATCTAGCCACTCCACTTTATGCCAACGTAAATAATGACAGGATTCTAGCTGTTGAAAGCCAAGTCTACTCTAAAAATATTTACTATCAAAACTCTCATCATCGAGACTGAACATTATGTTGATTTATTGCAAAACAGTTGCATTTTCTTTGGAAACTTACCCACTCTGTTTATTCCTGGCAGCATCCAAAGGAAAGATTAAGACAATGTGGTTACAGATTCAGCAAATTGTCACAGAGAGAAAATACAGAAAAAAAACTATGCAGTATTTCAGCTTTGGAAGTTGAACAAGATTGAGCTGAATCAACTGTTCAGAAAGAGCACATAGTTAGACGTCTAGTGGGGTGGACAGGACAGTGGGTTAGGCAGCTGTGGAGACAGAGTTTGGGTGTTCAATTCCACACTGTGACTCCTACAAAACAGAGCCAGCCTGTGTGGCCTTGGGCAAGCTGCACAGTCCCAGGACAAGAAGAAGGGAATGGTAAACTACTTCTAAGTATTCTCTACCTGGAAAACCCTGGAAAAGTTGCTATTAATCAGAATTGACTTGATGGCACATGATGATTATTATTAAAGACTTCTTTATTTATTATTATTAAAGATGGAGAATATACCATCAATTGAATTAAAGTGTGTGGGCAGGGGTTAGATGTTTCCCTGACACCCTACCATACATTTCACACACAGCAAAGGTTGCTGTTAATTTTGAGATCTTTCACATGCCATTTGAAGTAATGTATAACATCCCCCCCCCTCCATGAAGGTCTGAAACCAACTTGGACCTATTGCACTTCTGGAACAGAACAATATAAAAATACCTTGATTCATCATTGTTGTTCAGTTGGGGTACATGGCCAGAGAAAGTGTCCCTTGGAACACAATGAGCAGCAATATGAATCAAGGAATAAAAAGTGCTCTGGTTTAATAGGAGGTTACTATGCTTGGCTTCCACTCAGAGTTGGATGAACTGCAGCTCAAATCTCAATGAAAGACAGTTGGAGCTACTGCTTTTTTATTAGCTGATTGTCACAATAAATCTGACAAGGAGAGATTACAGAACAAGCCAAATGCCTATTATATATTTATTCTATGAGTCAGATATTGGAAAGGTAACTATGCAGTCTGTTGCACTAAAAATAACAAAGAACTGGAGCATAAGCCTGCACTGACTACAGTCCAGTTCATCACTTCAGAGCAAAAACATATGTATCCATTTGAAGCTGCCTCCATGCGAAATTGTCTACAAATTTCCAGGCACACCTGTATGATCCACAAATAAGCACATGTATCCATTATTTTAGTCTTATGAAATCAATGGCATACCAGTTTTGCTGACTCTATGAGGTTTGACCTCATTGACAGCAGTCTGTGGCCTTGCAGTGTCTTCTCCTGTTTCCCGACCACTTGACTGTTCACTTGCTGTTGAGTCAGCATCAGAAGGGGAAACTCTGTTGATCCAGGAAAAAACAAACAAATCATTTTTTAAAAGTATGTCAACATCATCACTAGCATCATCATATAAATTTATATAAACTGTTTCTACACAACTGAACTCTAGGAGGTGTCCAGAGACTTCTTAGCTGGCTTTTTATCCAGCTATTCAATAGACCTAAACTTAGCTCAAGTTCTTAATTATACAGTAATTCCATTTGCTTTCAGGTCACACACCGGGACATTTACAGAGATATGCAAAAGGGTCAGTCAAATACCAGCAGATTCAAATGTATATATTCACACACATACCCATTTAGATAGTTGGCAATCCTTTTCTCTGCCTTTCACTGTGTTCAGTAACATGGTTTAATGCATGAATGGCAATTAATTTAGGGCAGAGATAAATACTGTAATATTCCTTTATATATAGGATTGAAAGATGAAACAAATTAATGGCAGAGATCTCTAATTGCCATTGAACAGACCTAACAACTAAACTGCCTGTGTTGAATACAAGCAGCTCAGAAAAGTGGGAATCGCCCCCATCCCCACCCATTACAAACTTGAATGAATTTCTTGACTTTTACATTTTTCTACAAGTTTTAACAGATGTAATCATTCCACGCTGCTTTAGCACTATGATTTTAATTCCTCTGCTTTGCATTTTTAAATCTTTTAATTATATCATGGGTAATGCTGTAAAGGAAAAGTACTGCTTCTATTTAACTGTACAAGGAGGGCTATAGACATTGTGGCTATTCTTAAGCTTTCGAAAATAATGCAGCAAACATTCAAAGTTGAGAAAAGCAAATAGCAGGCAAGCAAACTGAAGAAAGATGAATTTAATATTAAACATTTAGCTATGCATTATTGGAGTGTTCATTAGCTTTTTAAAAAATTAAGCAGCCAACCCATACACCAAATGACAATTTCATTTCGCCCAAGACAATCTGGCCTCAAATTCAGTCATCAGCATAAGAGCCAAAGCAAAACAAAAATCCAGTAACTTTTTTGCTAAAAACGTTTTTAGCAGAATAACCCATGTTTTTGTTTGATCACTTTATCTGTTGTTGTACATGCTTGAAATATTCTAACATTTAGCTGTACAATTAAAACCCCATTAACTCCACACATTCAAAAGGCATATCCCTGCTCATTTTACATTTCTGAACTGAATAATCTCCATAATTAAGAAGTCCAGTAGAAGACTTTAAGAAAGCACTATCCACAAATCCTTGTGGTTTAATGTAAAATGGAGATACCTGAACAAATGCTATTCAAAAATACTTAACAGAGCAAAATAATCCCCCATACATAATTACTGTAACTTTGATCTGTGCCAAACATTTTCTCATCATCTGAACTGACCTCCCTCTGTGGCGGACATTCTTGGATGGCTTTGAAGAGATCTTGGTTTTGGGGCTTGGTAGGTCACCGTTTTCAGAGGGAGTGGTGTCCTTAATTGGTCCTGGCAGAGGAGTTGGCTCATGGATGATCAGGATGTCATCTTTGTTGTGCTGGCCTAAATGCTGCTTTGCAAAATCAAAGCCCTTCACACTGGGGGCTTGTAACTATAGTAGAAAATGAAAGGAAAGGAAATAAGACAAAACTAATCATGAGCAAACATAACAAGGATGCAAGCAAAAAAAATTAGGCTGGTAAACCTAAGCTGTAGCATATCACAACAACATGAAAACAGTCAGAAGTTATACAGACACACAAATACATATATGAATGTGGTAAGACTGAGGGGTCAACAGTGCTTAAAATCATTCTGGATTTCTATCGCAGAAAAGTCAGCCTACCCAAAATAAATATGTCATCAAGGAGGTGTTGATTAGCCAGAAGAACTTTCAGAAGCAATGGCCTAATGAAGGCAACACAATCCATACAAAAGTGTACAATATGTCTAACCTACTGGGACATGCATCCCTGGACCAAAACAGGCCCCAGAAGGTAAGTGATGGGGCACCTATGGCCTTCTAGATGTTGTTGAACCACCCCAATTCCTATTTATTCCTGATCACCAACCATGCTGACTGAGGCTGACCCCAGTTAAGAGCCCAATATCTGGAAGACCACACATAGGATAAAGCAAGACAGGTCCCCTATTAAGACATTCATCTGAACATGCACAGGGCATATAAGCCCAGCTAAGGAAGGCCATGCTGCCCTACTACAGCAGAGACATTCACAAACTAAATGTGTATGTCCGGAGAAGGCTCTGAACGTGCATTTGGTGTAAAGATTTGGTGACTCTGACAAAGTTGGGGATTTGATCACTGAAGTTCTATAAGCACAACAGAGGCTTTAGGGCTCAGTGAAAATTTCTGATGCTGTGGGACATGATGCTGTATGGGATAATGTTCGTTCGTGTGTGTGTGTGTGCGCGTGCAATTTTGTCCTCACTCTAGAGGCTATGGTTGTTCAGCTTTCAAGCAAATAGCTCAATAGGGCTTAGGTATCAAATACAACACGGTTTTCAAAGATGTAGCCAGGCTAATCTGCAAGTATATCAGACAAAGAAATAAAACAAAACCAACCAACAACACCCCCCACACACAAACACACAGACACACTAAAACATACAAAAAACATTGTGTCACCTTAAAGACTTACTGTTATATCAAGTCCACTTTTTCAGAAACTTTTTCCATTTGTGTGATACACATCTAAACTATCCAGAGGCCAAATCTGCCAGGCAAATGCCCACTGACTGGTCTTTAGCTTCAGGGCATCTACTTGGGATACTCTGAGTCTTCAGTGGACTTGTGATAGCTTATAGAGCCCTAGCTATCTCAAGGACCATAAATCCCTTTATGAGCCTGCTCAAGTATTATGTTCATCATGAGAGGCCTTTCTCTTATTCCCACCACCTTCACAAGTGTGCTTGGTGGGTAGATGGGACAGGGCCTTCTCTGTTGCTGCTCCCAGACTTCGGAACTCTCTCCCACAGGAAGCTAGGCTGGCCCCATCTTTACTGTCCTTCTGTAAGCAGGCGAAGACCTTTCTCTTTAGGCAAGCTTCCCTTCCGTGACTGCCTGCCTGAGTGGGGCTTTAACTGGATTGTTGTACCTTGCTGCTTTGAATGTGTTTTGGTGCTTATCTTTTTAAATGGATTATTGTACCTTACTTCCTGGTTGGTATTTTGCTGTCGCTTATGTTTTTTAGTACTGTATGTTATTTGTATTTGTATACTCATTGCTGTTAACTTTAAATACTGTTTTTTAATTATGTGAGCTGCCTTGGATCCTTTTTAAGGAGAAAGGAGGGGAAAATATATTTAAATAAATAAAAAATAAATTAAGAGGGAAGAAACCTCAATAAAGACAACAGCAACTCTTAAAGCAGACACTGCAGAACAGAGATTAATTGCAGACACAAATGCATAGAATGCTTAACTGAAAAAAAATCCTGTTACATTTACAAAAAAACAAATCTCTGCACTCAAACAATATTAAGAATATTCTGCTATATGGGTGGAGTTTAGCAAGATGATGCCAGAACGACAAGTTACTGCAAGAGGTTGGGAAAGTACTCTGCCAGGTCTGAACCAGCAGATGGCGATAAAAAGCTTTAAAGGGAAAGTTACCTACATATTGTACTTGTGCATTACATCATTGTCGCTTCACACAATCGTATTATCAGACCAATAATTTGGTTACAAGAGGGACTGTATTTGTAGTTCTCAACAGGAGAATTGCTGTTCCAGGTTTCAGTTAGCTCCCCCTGCCCCTTCTCCTTGTACACAAATGGGTACAAAGGCCAATGCTTCATGCAAACTTGGATTTCAAATCCCATTAGCCATAATCAGCATAGCTAAAGGTGAGATATTATGAGAGATTCAGTCCAGAAAAACCTTAAGGGTCACAGTTGCCGCCCTCCCAGCTTCAGATATAAAACAACCTAATTCATTCTTCCTCCAAACCCATTTCTATGAATTTTCCTCTTCCACTGGACACTCAGAAGTGTACTCAAACTTTATTGTATTGTTAGCGATGGAGAGAGGAGCTGTCCCATTTGTATTTCTTGAGGCAGGTGCTTTTGCATATCCAGAGATTCAGGCCAGCATTCCAATTTCTCTATTTTGCTTTTCTGCAGCCTTTATTTCGTTGCATTCATACTGGGGGGCTATCAAGACTGGGCAATCTATTAGAAAGAATAATTACCTCCAGCTTACTGTTCTCCATCCATTTACAGTGGTGCCTCACTTGACGACGATAATCTCTTCTGTTCAAATCGCTGTTAAGCGAAATCGTCGTCAAGTGAAAGTAAAAAAACCATTGAAATGCATTAAAAACCAGTTAATGCGTTCCACTGGGTGAAATACCTCATCGTCCAGCGAAAATCCTCCATAGGGGAAGCCATTTTCAATTGCTGTTTTCTGGAAATAGGTCCTGAAAACAGCGGGAGGCCATTTGGAAACCCGATGATCAGCTGTAAAGATCGTTGTGAAGCGAAAAATCGGTTCCCGAAGCAGGGAACTGATCGTCGTAAAGCGGATTTTCCCCATTGAAACATCGTTTTGCGATCGCTATAGCGATCACAAAAACTTCATCGTTAAGCGATTTCAGCGTCAAGCGGGGTAATCTTCAAGCAGGGCACCACTGTATATCACTTTTAATACATGTCTTTCTAGCCATCTCTCACTAAATTTCCTAGTCTGGCAAACCTCTGATTCTGGCAAACTTATTTTGTTTGGGGAATCTGGATCATAAAGTATTTCCCCCCTCCCGGCATTATGTTCAGACTCTTTATCACTAAAATAAAGCCAGTGTGGTTTGACAGTTAGTGTTTAGGGAGACTGGAGGAGGAGGAAGATGTGAGTTCAAATCTCCTATCAATCACGATGTTCCCTGAGCAATTTGGGCATAATTATCAGCAATCAGCCAAAGCTTCCTTAAAGGGTTGTTGGAGTATAAGCAGAGTAGAAACACTTTGGAGAGGAAGCACAAAGTAAACGTGTAATGAATAAAATAATATTCTAGTCACTAGACCTGATCATTTTAATATTCTACAGCTATTTTTAATCAATTGCAATTCTCAAAGTTGTCCACAAATAGTCTTCCTATTTATCCATTCCTTTCACACTCTGATCCTACTACAACCTTATTTTCTTTTTTTTAATCTATTGGTTTTTATCTTCACAGACAATCTTTTCCTGTATCACAAAAGTGATACAGGATAAATTGTCGCTTTATGGATGAGGAATGAAATCACCCATGGGGAAAATTTAAAAAGGCGATGTGACCAGATATGACTGCAAATCTGGGAATCCACAAACTTTCTCAACACCAGCTTCCAGTTTGAAGGAACGTTTAGGCTGTTTTCATCACCTGTGGCTAACAAAAGGGTAAATTTACAGTTTACAATCACTAGAGTCCAGAGCAACTGTTCACCTGTATACTTCTTCAGAGCAGATGGCTGTGCTAACACACATACTTCTGGAAGTGAAGCCAAAAGTGGGGACAAAATGGCAGGCCCTACCATTAGGTAAAGTGAAGCAGCTGTCTCAAGTTGTAGATATTGGGATGCGGGAGGCAGTTGCTGTTTTCAACATCAAATCTTACTAATGTTGCTTTTCTCCAGACCACGCTGACAAGAAGAATTCTGGAAGCTGCAGCCCCCCTCAAGAAAGTAACTCTTCTGAGCCTCCCAAATTTTATCTTCTGCTACTAAATAGAACTATTCAAGCCATACAGCTTGACCTTGGGTATCTTCCTTCCTTCCCTCACATGTGCAGAAACTTCAGCTGCTAGTCCAGCTGGTTTCCATTGCATAACTAGAATTGGGAGAGAGACTGGATGGAAGATTTTGTGCTTTGCAATCACTGGCAGAATAACTTGGGTCAACCCAGAGTGCCAGGTGCACTGGCCCAGAACCCTACTGACAAAATTCTCCTTTTGGGAGAATGAAGTTTGATACAAGGTTAAAGCTAAATCTTTGGTTGGACTGTATTACTACAGGGTACAACTGGGGCACCATACATTTGAATGTTCCCGTATGAACACAACCACCCTGTAGAAAAAAACTTTGGCCAAAATTCAACTGGATTTGCATGCAAAAGGAATTAGGGACATTGTCACATATGATAAGGTGCCAGGCATATGCCAGCAGCATGCTGGGTGCCTGACTGTGTACATGAGGATACATGCAAATGATAGGTGGCTGGCATTTTGTCAATTAGGGATAGCAACTCATTTCAAACAAATGTACAGTACTTCAAACCACTAACCATCAAACTGACTTGTTGCAACTCATTATGGTGTTAGCTGCAATTCAAATATCAAGTGAAATATCAAACTGGGATTATGTAAAAACAGAGGTTTGGCCATACAAAGGCCAGATCCCGTTGCCTAAGTTACACCTGATGGCACTGACCACAATCTCCACTCAGAGAAATTTCAGAAAATTCCTCATCCCAAGGTTCATGCAATGAAACTGAATGTACATGAAAGTCAGACAAGCTGTAGAACAGAAATAGGACATCTTCAAAACCTTGATGACAAGGCAATCCAAAATATAGACAATTACCCAAAAGTGATTTCCTTTTGGAAGCATATCATATGTA